CCCTAACGTTCTGTGATTCTGTGATTCAGAAGCCAGGTCTGATTAAGTTGGTGCAAGGAAGAACTTACACACAAAAAAACTGTGTTAAAAGAATGTCATAGGTAACAGAGAGACTTAGAGATGTCCAAGTTGCACATTCAGAAACATCAGCTGTAACAGGGCCTGTGCGTATCTGCACACTATCAAGTCTTTCAGTATGCGCTCATGTGGGGTGTCTGTCATGTAAGGTGAACAAAGTTAGGAAAGGTGAAGTACGGTTCTGCAAGAAGGGGATTCCTGTAGAGAGTGACGTTGTATCTTAAATGGGTGAGAGAGTTATCACAGAGTGTCAAGAAACTTGAATTCTGCCCTACAGGACTGAATCCTTCCAATCACAGAGTTTTGGGTGGTTCTGAATGGTGTTATAAAAAGTTGAGCATTCAAAAAAATTAAGTTCTTAAATTGCTAGTTTGCACCCAACTATCATTTGTATCCTACAGTGAACATGTATTGTGTACTGTGTGATGTTATTCAGCTGAACTTTTTGAACAAACCTCCAGGTTTTGTTATTCACCCAGAGCTGTTTAGTACCTTAGAAGTGAAACTCCTTTTCTACTGGCAGAACTTTATTACCTTATTTCACAAATATTTTGCAGTGAAATAATTTCTTGCAGTGCTGCAACTATAAGCAGTCTTGAGACATTAAATACAAAAGCATTCTTCCTGTAACCTTTAAGCATGCAAGTTGTATTAGAGGAGTTTGCTATATTGAGATTTAGGTCAACCAGTACAGTGTTTTCATTAAACAAAATATGTTTTGCAAATATTTCTGTATAATGAAAAGATTCAAGTACAGTACAAGAAACTGGCTGAAAATCCTGAACAGCTCTACAAAGCAATGTGTATGCGATCCTGATTTAAATGAGGAGTTGTACCACAAATTCAGGGGTATGTCAGCAAAAGCTATGGGATGGGGCTAAAGCCCTCTCTAGTAAATGTTTGCTTAAGTTAGCAGAACACTGGTGAAACATGCTCCAAGGAGTTATTTAATGTCAGCAGAAAATGGTTCTAGTTATATTACTACTAGGCACGTGTTGAGGTTCATTAACCTGTCAGCTCTGCTCCTAGTTCTCAGACATGAGGTGTGACCTGGTGCCATTCAGTGCATTAGCATGAATACAAGCACATAGCATGTGATAGCATTGTACAGAATGGCAGCCAAAAATAACATCATCTTTGTGCTTCTTGAAGACTTTCATTGTTGGCGTCTCAGACTTTGACAGTCAGAGTTAGTTCTCACTGGCACTGTAGCTGCTGATTCATTAAACGCTTGGCCTGTGACACTTCCACAGGATTCATTCTATAGATTAGAAGGGATGCTCTGATTATTTGGTCACTCTGTCAGAGAAATGCATCTGCTTGAAATCATAATCTCACTAGTGAATTATTTTGCTCCACACCAGCATTTGGCTTAAATAAAAGGTTTTGTCATTTTTTCAGAGCAAGTTTTTATGTAGTGCTAGATCAGATTAAAACTTGACATGTACTTACTGATATTCAGCTGTGTCTCAGCACAGAATAATAATAGTGTTATCTAGCCCATATATAAGAAGTATTGCTAAAGGAAAGTGAGTTTACCTATCAGAAAAAAATAAGCCCAAATCTTGCATATAAAACACACCAGTAATTAGATATGCCTTCAGTATGAAAGTTTGATTCATTATGTTTTTGCATCAGTGTATTTGTGATATAGCATTGCAGTAGCAATTAGCAACAGTAGAAACAGGGAAAGGAGTATTAACTCTCATCAGTGTTAACTCTGGTTCCTTGAATAAATTCTTACTAGCATTTATAATGCTACAAAGCCTTTTATTCAAGTAGTAGCTATATTTGAATGATGTTGGTAAATGTGTGCACATCAGGGAAGAGAGAAAAAAAGAGAAATGCCTCCTTCATTGTCCTTCCCACCTGTCCTCCAGAGAGGATTCAGTTGCTGCAGAAGACAGGCTGGCCTGGCCATTCTCAGTCATCACCGGTGGCTAGGAGTGACAGATCAAGTTCCTCTTGTCAGTTTTCCTGTAGCTTCATCCTACGTGGGTCAGCATCACTGGGAGCAAGGCTGCCAGATGATACCTTGGCTTCTCTCACAGGACAGAAACCCTGATTTCTGATCTCCTGCAGCCTTAACAAATTCTGGTCAGATACCTACTTTCCTAATCTCAGGTACAGCTCAACAGTGAGTGCTGCATTGTTCTCTTTCCTCTTGGCTGCTCTTTCAAAGCAGATGAAAACAACATAACAGCAAGTTTATATAAGACTAATAAAATTTGCTGGTTTTCTTCTTTTTCAGCCTGTATTGTAGGTATTATTATTGTTAGTGCTATTGTCATGTGTATTACTATGGCTACCAGAATATGGTATCCTGCAATCCTTGTCACTACTTGTGTCACCTAACAGCTAGTCTACAGAAGTTATACCAAAACGTGAAGCCAGTGGTATGTAGAAGGCTTTTAGTTATTGCAGAATAATACAGCATGTCTCTTATGGCCTAGATGGTTGGTCTTTGCTCTTATCATTAAAGCACTCTTGGTCTACCCCTGAATGTCTGATTAATCATCTCCTGGCCTAGGTTGAAGACACTGAATGTTAAGTTCAGGCTTGAGCTTCCTGCAGCTTTGGTTCCCATTCAGTCTTCTACCTCCTGGATATTATGTTGGCTGTGAAATCATCCAATGGTTGGCATGGAAATTAAAGTTAAACCTGATATTTAAAAACTATTTGAAAACATTCTTCAGATTGTTTTGTCCTTCAGTGAGGAGTGCGCTTTAAAAATTTATGTACTATTAGTTTAGTTGCTTCATAAATACTAACATTTTTCTCCATTTAGAAGGATACTGCAACATCTTTCTAGAAATTGCAGGGCATCTTTACAGAGTGAGGTAACAGTCTTTCTTGCTGAAGATTATCTGGTAAAAAAGTGAGAACTAAATTGTTGACTGATATAAATAAGTACAGTTTACTTTAGGTTTCAGTGCACAGTTCGATGACATGTCAGCTGATGGCATTACTTCCTTGCTATATGTAATGGTAAATCTAATGTCATAGACTTTTTGTGTTCAAGCAGAGATACCATGTTTCAAATGGCCTACTTTAGACTGCTGTTCATAGTTTGAGAATGAATTATTCAATTCTTTTTACCTTGACTGTGAGCTCCAGCAGGTAAACTCTGTTATGGATAGTCACATAATTTTATTTATTTGTTTCATTTCTATAGGTCACTTGCTTGGACTTTCCCATGATGACTCTAAATTTTGTGAGGAGAACTTTGGCTCCATGGAAGATAAACGCCTGATGTCCTCCATTCTGACTAGCATTGATGCTTCAAAACCCTGGTCAAAATGCACTTCAGCAACTATAACAGAATTCTTCGATGATGGTCATGGTATGTATTTTCCCACCTTGTGTCAGCTACGTGTTAGGTTTTACTGTGATGTATTTTTTTAGTAAGAACATTTTACACCAGCTTGTTCATTCCTTGCTCATCTTCAGGACTATCTTGGATGTGCTTGCAAGATGAAGCAAAGATCTAAAAGTCTGGCAGAGTCTCACTCTCCCTTTGCATGGTTCAAATGCAAGAGAAAAGAAAGTTGATGGATTATATGTTGGCAATAATTTGGTTTAGAATATGGAGAGGTTTTTTTAAAAGCATGAAATTAGTTTTGTCTTCCCAAATGCCACAGATATGAGCTCAGAGATTACTTTAAACAGAGGACACAAGGCAATGGCTTTTTCCTCACAGAAATTAAAGTGGGTGATATGGTCTACTTAGTGTTAGACTACAGATGTGAGCATAGTTTATGTGTTCTTGTTACCATTGATTACATTTCTTATGTTTATAATGCCAGTATATTTATTGCATTTATTTATTACATTGTGTTTATTATGTTTATGCAGAGGGGCTGTAAGCAAGAATTAAGACTCCTCTGTGCTCTATATGATAGAAGATTACTTCTGCTTCAGGAGCTTACCTTCCAAGTCATGTAACTAGTATTTGTTAAATATGTCATTTACCCTTTGGAGAAGAAGTGCAAAACTTTCAGTTTTCCAAAAGTCATAATAAAAAAGCATAATCTTCACTATTTAATGAATTTTAAAGTCTTCATTGTGCTCCCAAAGCAACTGCAGTTCTTAAACAAACCATTCAAATTCCAAAATGCTGAGATAAAAATGACATAACTGAGTGAATGGATCAAGTTGTTATGGTAACTAAAATGCTTATGGATGAAAAGTATGGTATGTCTGCTGAACGTAAAGGGCTTTTTTCTTTTAAATATTTTGCTGGCTAACTTCAGTGTGCTCTGAAATATTTTCTCCTCTTTTTCCCTACTGGAGAATGACTTCATTTTTCTCTCAATTTTATTAGATCCATTAATGTGTACTGTCCTGTTTTATGGTCCATATTGCCCTGGCATTGACTGTATATTACTGAGTTAGTCTCCATATATGAAGAGAACTTTCCTTTTTGAGTTTAGTTGCTGAAGTACAGTACAGTTAACTGGAGTAAAAAAAAAGGGACCTCCTGTGCTGCCTCATGTTCCTCTCCTGCTTCAGGCGATTAGAAAGGTTGTTTTCATTTTTTTTCCCTTTTTTGTGACCTTACGTCTTCACTTTACTGTGCACCCAGCTAGCTACTTTCTCCAACAAGAAAGAAAGCAAAGGGAGCATTTCTACCACCCACCTCACCTTTGGCTTGTTTGTACCTGGTGATGCTTGAAATTTGGACCCTTATCAATCTCAATATGGAAGTAAGGGGGACTGTAACAGTCAGTCTTACAGATTGAAGAATATAACTCTGACAGTTTTTCCAGTAGAAGCAGGTAGGAGATTCAGATCCTTCAGAGCTGCATTATGGTCTCCTTGTTCATCATGAGTGCTGACTTGCCGTACAAGAAGTTTAGGAGTCCTCAGCTGCTTATGCTTTTCACAAAGTTATGTATTCTTCACTGCATGTAAAGGGCATAGGATCTGTCAGTCTGTCAATGCATCGGTTAGGGTACGTTGCCCTTTCTAATACTCATAAGTAGTTATCACTCAAGGATGTATTCTCAAAAGAGTTATCGATGTGATGAAATAATTCACAGAAGACCTCTCGTCTTACAGGTCCATAGTCCTCTGGGAATTGATTTAATTACTGATGCTGTTGGTGTGATTTCAAATATGCAATGTTTAGGGAATCTCCTTTCTTGATAGATCAGGCCTTCAGCGACCATTTCTAAGTAACAGTCTTCCTGTTCTGTTGAAGTTTATAATTTTTCAGTTATTTGTTTAAAATCAAAGAATTGTCTAAACAGAACATAAACACTATCTATGAAGTAAAAATGGAAGTCGATGTTTTAAATTGTGGTTTCTTCAAATTATTATGCTTAGAGGACATGCATTAATTTAGGAAGGGAATTTATGGAAGCTTATGTGGGAAATGCTGAACAAGAGGAGACTCTTCCATTCTCTGATAAGCAGCATGGGCAGTTTGCACCAGGCTTTTGGTCTGAATGGGCACGAGCTTACGATTTGTGTTTCGTGACAAACAGGGCATAACAGCATTGGTGTGGGGAAATATATACAGTGCTTCATCTGCTGCTCCTTATGGCTAAGCATAATGAAATGTAAATGAGGTCCAGAAGTTTGGATCTATGAGCAGTATTCTATTACAAAAGAATAGTCAATGTCTTATTAAAGATTGAAGTTAGTTTCCCATAGAGATTTAGATGTTCACCCCATACTGCTGTAACAGCAAACATAACAGTCTTGACTCTCTTAATTCCTTAACATCACTTTATCATGTTGTGATGTTCCTATTTTCTAAATTTGGAAAGCGATGTTGGGGAGCAAACTCGTCTTATAAAATGTGGGTATTTACTATGCAGGTAGCTACTCCTAAACTGGGTATTTAAGCTCCCGTTGTAGTGCAGAGGGGTATAACCAATGGCATCGATGGTTTGGCTGATCTCATAAGTTGTATTAGTGGTGCTGAATTACACCATAAACTCATTTGCCTGAGTAGTGAAACATCTGACAGCTGTCTGAATTGCAGACACCAGCATTACTTATGGTTAAAGTCAGCTAAATAAATCCCAATATAAATGCCTTGTCTAAGGTCAACCAGGAGGTCTGGGGAGGATCAAGGTGCTGATTGTCTGTCTCCTGAGGCCCACTCTGAGAACTGCTAACATCACTATGATATCACCATTTGTTTTGTGCTTATGAGATGACCCTACACAGCAGTTGGACATTTAGGAATAAAAGGCTCAATTAGTGTCCAGAAGACAGTGACATTTATTTCCATCTGCTTTTAGCCAACCCTCCCCGAAGGTACTAATTGCCTTTATTGTCAGGCCAACCACTAGGCTGTGGTGTGATTGCTTGCAATTTATTATGTTTAGTCAGAGTGCTCCATGCTCAGTGAACCTGAAAAAAAAGGACTATTTCTATTTTAATTAATTTATATCCTGGTTATCTGCTTCCTGCACTGATCTTATTCTGCCTTTTTTCTCCAATATATATTTCACATCACATTGAGGAGAGATAAAGAGATGGCTTAATTAACACTGTCATCAGACAACAATGTTACTTTATTCTAAGACACACAGATGTTCTTTGGTTCTCAGGACAAAAAAATGGGAATAGCAATATATACATGCTCTGTACGTTGCTTTTAATGTAGTGAATTGAAGCCCTCTCTGTCCTCTCAACCAGGGGGCCCATTGCAAACCATTCTCCAGTTTCTTAACTCTGTGTTTTCTGACCATTACAAGTAGGAGTTTGGGCCAGCTGGTGGTAAAAGCACCTGCAGTTCATTGCAACTTGTCTAAACATAGATTACCACTGCTACTATCTATAAATGTAAAGACTTTTTTTCCCTCAGTGAGGAATCCTTAGGGGCTTTTCCTGTCTTCAGTTTTGAATTTATCATGTAAGATCAGCTGAAACACCTGGCTTTATAGACACTATACATGTTTCCTCAGAGCAGTATCAGTTAAGGTGCACTTTGTATCATATTTCCCCCTATTCTGAGGGGGAAAAATTGCTATATTTGCTACATAAGCTTGTGAAACCTGTTTGTTATTCACCTGTGAAAGATACTTAAACAAATGTTAACTAAAATGACAGACAGATCAAGTATATCCAAGTATATGACTTTTTTTTTCCTTTTTTTCTCTAAATTTATATTTCCAGTCATGTCAGTCATGGTAGATCTCAGTGATCAGCAGCAGTGTCTATCATAGTGAAATGAAGTGTTATTACCATATTTTAAAACACTGAATAACTTGGGATTTTTATAAACTGCAGTATATATGTAATAGTAGCATATACTACTGAATGTTAGCATGCTAGTGCCCTCCCACCACAGCCCTAACACTGTACTAACTCCCTCCCTCATCACAAGGTATATGAAGTAGGATTTCTGCTGTTTTTTACTTTTACAGAGTGTATTTTTTACAGCGACTTGTGCCAATTATGTCCTTTTCAGAAACTCCAGGAAAAAAATCTGTGCTTCCTCATTCCTCACTATGTCTATAGTATTTTACACTACAACAAGCTTTGAACACTAGGGTACTTTTATTTATCTTTATCTCATGGCACTCAGCTCATCAGTTAGCATTGGCATGCCTTCTCTTCATTAAAAGAGTCATCGTAATTCAGATTAAAGAGAGTACTAGGGTAAATCAGGGTCAGCAAAGAACAAATGGATCAAGTTTAACAAGACAGAGTTTTTTGGTAGTAAGTGATGAGTCAGGAGGAATTCTTGGCTGATTTGGCTAATTGGCCTTAATCTTTAGACGAAGAAAAGAACAGTTGCACTAAGTGTGTGTTTTAGAGAGAAAACACAAGCCATTGAGAGATGGGGTATTTGGTTTGTTGAAATTCACTGCCATTGCTTGAAATTCTATCCCATTTTTCTGTAAATAGTGAGCATTTTCTAGATAGGCTTTTTTTTATCCATGATCCAACTGAAAAACATTTATGTAGGTTGCAAAGTGAGGTAAATTGTGGTAAGTTGTTTTGGCCAAGGATAAGTGAAACTTGCCCAGACCACATATCCCTTTCATGAAGTGTAAAAGAGGTTACACTAAATAAATAGTTCTGCATGTCAACAAGTAAGCTTTTCAGTAGTAAAAAAAAAATCTATCAGTAGATCCTCTAGAACCAAAATGTAAGTTTCAGTTTTAGTGTTCCAGACAAATCTTGACCTCTGCAATGTAATGCAAAACACATACTCAATACTTCATATTTATGCTATTTTTTTTCTTTCTTTCTGTTATGTATGTATTTTCTGTATAAAATGGATAGCCCACTTCAAACTAATTCCAGAAGCAGCCAAGTATCATTCCTTACAAGGAAAGCCCAGTCCAGATTTACCACCAACATTAGTTTTGATATGCAGCTTATGTTTTTCCCTTGATCTGTTGGGTTTTTTTTCTTTTTATTTTCTTTTTGTTGTTGTTGTTGGGGTTGGTTTTTTTCTATTAAGTGCCTCATTGGCTACAAGTCTGGTTTTTGTGATTTTTCTGGCATCCCTTTAGAGGCCTTACTATTTCTGATGTTCTGTTCCAAAATTAAATTGATAACTTTTCTTACTTTGCCATGAGTCTTCATCATTCCTTAAATCACGAATTGATAAATAGAGTGGAATGTGTTCAGAGTCAATTCAAATAAAGAAAACCAGAATGAAAGTCCAAAGGGACCTGAGTAAAACTCATTTACACCCTGAGACTGGAAATAGACAGCTCGACACCTGGTGTGTTGCTGGGTGAGAACACAGTTGCAATAGCATGACCTTGTCCAAAACCTGATGACACCACAGAGCACCTTTCCATTCACGTCAGCATCCTTTGAATGAGGTTCACTGTCATTATCAGTCCACCTAACTTGAATGACAGATTTGCAGCACTGCAGAGAGAACTAGGAAATGAGTAATGATAGGTTGGTTTTCTCTTTTAGGTAACTGTCTACTGGACCAGCCAAGAAAGCAGATCCTGGGCCCTGAGGAGCTCCCAGGACAAACCTACGATGCCATTCGTCAGTGCAAACTGGCGTTTGGATCTGAATACACAGTGTGCCCTGGTATGGATGTGTGCTCTCGCCTTTGGTGTGCAGTTGTGCGCCAAGGTCAGATGGTATGTCTGACTAAGAAGCTGCCTGCTGTGGAGGGAACACCATGCGGAAAGGGGAGGATCTGCCTCCAGGGAAAATGTGTTGACAAAACCAAGAAGAAATACTACTCAGTAAGTTACCAGCTGTGACCCTAGGGAATTCTAGAAAGACATTGTCCTCACAGGTGCTGATTTTTGTAGGAGTGAAAGACACGTTATGGAAGTCAGATTGAAAGCTGCCTTTTTTTTTAGCATGTAATTGGAGTGTTACTGGTGAGGGATACAGGGAAAAGGCTGCTGAGTTTCCGGCATCCTGTTTTCTTCTTGAAGTATGAAAGCCTTCATTCCTGGAAAACTAGGAGCATTTCTTTAGAGTAGAGATTTTCCCCATTCAGTAAGTCAGGTCTCAGGACATACAGAAAGATTGTCAAGGACCTATTCTTAGCTTCCTGACTTCTTGGCAATGGACTGCAAGGTATATTAAATCTGTAAATTTAATTTACAGCCCTTATCCAAAAGGACCCAGGGCCCTAACTCTAATGAAGAGAAAGATTGATTAAGTTCATCGCAAATTTCTGAAGCAGAAAAGTTTGTACCTCCAGTGACAGAGTCCCCTCTGTCAACTTTCTGTGCCTGAAGAGTCCCCAGGCTCTTGTGAACTGTCAACTGCACAGTTCAAATACTTCTAAATCAATTTTAGTTTAGTAATAACTGCCCCTTCTCCTATACCTACGAGAGAGGTACAGACTTGTTGAGCTTTGTGAATATACTTGCAAACTGCATGAGTCATTCTAATCAAGCTACATCCCTTGTAACACCAATTTTTATAGAATTACATGCTTCTTCATGCAGCACCTGTAAGTGTTTGCAATACTCGTTTTAGAGAGCCAAATTAGTAGAGCTGCAAACAGTATCAGACAACTCCATCTCTTGCCAGTAATTCAGAGCAATACATACACATCACAGTAATTGCATTTAATTAGTCACAGATTATCCTTATGAATGTATTCTGGGAGCTGAATCCTCTGGATCAAGTTTAAGGGAAACTATTGGTGGGAATAGCAAAAAAAAGAGAACAGCACATGAGACTATGGACACTACTTCTGGTGCACGTTTGTCGTCCATGAAACAGGCTGAAGGTGGCTGTGCAGAGCAAGGCCTAATATTGCCCTTGCATGCACAGTGCCAAATGACATGTCATCAATATGCAGATAAAAGACAGAAATTAACTCCACTGGGAAAAGGAAGGCTCCTAGAACCTGTTATTCCTGATTAAAATGACCAAGAATCTCCTTCAGTTGAGGAAAACATTAACAGTGTCTTTGAGATCTAGCACCTTTATTAACACATGGATGGTGTCCTTATCTCCCACTGTTCCATATATTTCAGGCTTCAAGCCATGGGAACTGGGGGTCCTGGGGACCTTGGGGACAGTGCTCCCGTACCTGTGGTGGAGGAGTTCAGTTTGCTTATCGTCACTGCAATAACCCAGCTCCTAGAAACAACGGTCGATACTGCACCGGCAAGAGGGTCATCTACCGCTCCTGCAACGTCGCACCCTGCCCAGCAAATGGTAAGTGCCTTCATGCCCAAGTGCCTTTGTGCTCCACCCTCTGTGTTCACAGATAGTAGATATTAAACATCTGCTGTGAAAGGACACTACAAAGGTCCATTGTAGTTTCTCCAAAATGTATTTACCAAGGCAAGACATTCATCATTAATACTATACTGTAGTTCTTCCCACCCTGACACCATACAGAAAGGACACTTGAATGAAAAGAAATTTCAGTCCTGGGAAATGAACCATAATGCACATTTGAGTCCTTTAATGCTTATTATGTCATGGGAAGATTTCAAAAGTAAAACAACTGAAGGTTTTGAAGGCCAGTTCTATGTAAAGAGGTGAAATGGTGTAACTTTAAAATAATGTAAGAAAGGAATTGGAAAACAGATGGGCATAATGATATTTGCAGTGTGGTCTGAAATAGTCACTAATGGTGTGAATAATTCTACAGCTAAATCTTTTCGACAAGAGCAGTGTGAAGCAAGGAATGGCTATCAGTCTGATGCAAAGGGTGTCAAGACATTTGTTGAATGGGTCCCCAAGTATGCTGGAGTACTTCCTGGAGATGTTTGCAAGCTCACCTGCCGAGCCAAAGGAACTGGCTATTATGTGGTATTTTCTCAGAAGGTAACAGCATCTCCAGTCATGATTTCATGCTCCAGTTTAGAAGTGTCATGTATCTTAGAAACCTTTCTCTACAACAAGGGAAAAGAAGTTAATCATATGATTCAACAATTTAACTGTGTGATTAGATTTAATGGTTTGATCCACTGGTTATACATTAGGACCAGAATTGGCCTCTAAAATGAGATCAGTTTTTCCACATCTCATGTGGACTCATGAAAAATATGGGCCTCTTAGTGCACTCTGCACTGGTTTGCTTTCAGTAGTGGATGAATGGGTTGCTGCCTGGAGATTCATATGTCATCCTGGGGTTTTCTGGAGAAGAAAGAATACTATGAGTAACAGAGTAAGTTTTACCCTGAATTATGTTAAGGGAGTCCAGTGTAACTCTTGTGAAGTCAATTAATATTTAGCCTATTATCACAGATGTGACTTGTGGCCAGTCTGTTATATCAGATGCAATTCGAACTGAAATGTCTCCTATGCTTATACTTGCAGTTTTCTACCTCTAAATGTTATGAAGTAAGATTTAGATCTAGATAGCTCAAGTGCAAGACTATCTACAAGTATTGTTATTGTTATTGTTATTTTGTTAATAAGCTGTGAGATCATCATTAAAGCCAAGGTCATTTTAGTGTCTTACAGTGGAGTTATCTGCCATTGCCTTCAGTCCTTTGCTAAATTTAATGTGTTTTTGTGCTAGGAATGTTAGAGGAACTCAGTCTGGGCTGTCAGGGTAGGCGCTTTGTTCTGTATGGGTTTTGCCAGTCAGATTCACAAAAGCAAATCTTTTCCATGGTAGTTTTAACTGACGGTCATTTGATTGCGTAGGTAACTGATGGTACTGAATGTCGACCATACAGTAATTCAGTCTGCGTCCGGGGAAAATGCATCCGAACTGGTTGTGATGGCATCATCGGTTCAAAGCTCCAGTATGACAAATGCGGAGTGTGTGGAGGAGACAACTCCAGCTGCACAAAAATCATGGGAACCTTTACCAAAAAGAGGTAATGATCTTGAGTATTAGTAAATGTATCTTGTGCAAATAGTAACTCTGTTATGTGCTTGCTTGCTTTCTATCTCTAAATACAATTTACTTTCATATTAAGATTGAGCAAAAAAGTACATTGCCTGTACTTTATTGCACTTTCCAGATGTTTACAGCTGACCTCTTAACAATACCCTGAAACTGGCAAATAATCAACTGGAAAAACACTGTACCCAGTCCATTTCTGACAGAAAGTGCCAGTGGTACAGGTGAACACCCCATTAACAGGAAGTTTGCCTAGAATAAGGCATAACATCTTGCACTTCTTGCTAATCTTGCTGGTCAGGTGGCTTGTGGTTTCTAGAGGAGAGAGGAAAGGGCAGCAAGGAGTGAATCAGAAAGTTGTTGGGGTTAGAATAATCTGGATGTTTCCGAAACACTGCATTTTCCAGATGATGCTGTGTTAGCAAGTACACGCTGAGAACATGTTTCATCTCATCGAACTTTGAATGTCCATGAAGACATCCTACCCAATTTAGTGACACGCATTCCTCGTGTAGTTAGTGGCAAGCAGACAGCATTAGAGCACAGCTGCAGAAGGTCTTCCTTAATAGCTGAGGGGGATTATACCCTAAAAATAAGTTTTCAAACTGCTGAGTACAGATGGAGCTTAGATGACTAGATGAGATGTCAGAAGTAAACACAGGCTTAAACATGGCATTTGCTATATCCCTCCATGTGTCATTGGCATAATATCGTTCTCCAGATGGATTATTTTTTAAGTCAAAATATTTATAGCTGTTATCCATAAGATAATTTTCTGTCAAAGTTCAGCTTTCAACTATAATACAAGTAAAATGAAAAGAACCGCCCCTATGGTTATCCCTGACCACATTGAGGGCAGCAATAAGCTTTGTACTGAGATACCAATGACAAGTAAGTCTGTCTTCTGTCTGATCTCTTGTTTCCCTCCCTTTTCAAATCTTAAAGTTCATAGAAAAATGAGAATTTTTAATTATCATTTATATAGATTCCATGGGCTTAGAAACTTTCAGTTGACAATATCTACTTGATATCTGTGGCTGCACTAGTGTACCATCTTTTAAAATGTACAACTTGATTTTGGTTTATATTTCCAAATTCCTGTATAGCATATTGAAAGCTACCAGAAGTTGAAATCTGATTCCTGAAATGACCTTTTCTTTCTATACCTTTTGACATACTGATAAATAGCAGCCAAAAATGGCTTTGAGAGCAAATTTATTCTAAAAATAAACATAACTGATCTTCTTCCTGGTAAACCAATGATTACTTACCTAAGGATGCCAAAACACCTCTGCCAAAAAGAATGACTTTCTAGCCAAGTTAGCAATTATATAAACCAAATCTTTTCCAATTTGTAAATGTTGGAATGTCTGGGATATCTAAATGGAGAAGACAGTGTGAGAGATACTTCATGTGATTCATTAACGGTTCTTGTGCTAGAATCCAGGTTCCAGCAAAAATGTTAAAGGGACTCCATGAATTTCAGTGAGGCCAGATTTGTAGCATAGATATAATTGGAAATTGAGAGATTCAAATTATTCCTACAAAGTTGCCATCTTACTCCTCAAATCATGCCTTCAACTGAAATGAAACTGGTCAGAGAGTAAAATATTAATTCAACATCAATGCATTCAAAAAGTTGCCCCACTTAGCAAGTAATAGCCAGCCTGTAAGTAACTAACTTGATTTTGATTGAAGTGACAAGAGTTTATTTTTCACTGGAAATATTGTCTGGGGCAATTCCCTTATGTGAGTAATTGACTATAAAATTAACCCCTCATTAAAACAGTGAAATCTTAATTTTCTACAAACTGTTTTTACATATGAAAGGGCAGTGGCTGTATCTTTTCGCCACTGAAAAATAGCAGCTCCTGTGTTGCTGTCCATTATAAACCAAAATGCAGCAATCTTTAAACTAAATGTACAGGGTAACTTAAATGTACAAGGGGAAACTAGTATTTCCCATTGCAGACAGTTGCCATAACAGTATCTTTGTACTTTTTTATTTTAAAGCAGTCACAATATAATCTCTGGAAAACTCGCTTCCTAAGAACTTTTTTTAAAAGACTGTAAAGCCTAACTGCCAGAAGTTGGGAAAGAGAATTAAGGCTGCACGTGCTTTTTTGTGCACATGGAGGGTTACAGTTCTTTGTGTAGATGACTTGAATTCTCAAGCATTGCTTTTAGTTTTTGAACAAATGATTTTGTAACTTCAGTAACATGTTTCAACAGAGTTATTTTGGCAACTGTTATGTAAAAATATTTGTTCAGTGCTGTAGAGCAGAGTACCCCCCAGCCTGTTTTTCACACCATATTCCTTCAGCTTTATGGAGGTGCTGAATCAGTAAAGTTTTTGTCATTGTCCCATAACTGCTGGAAATAGCAGGGGAGTAGCACAAGCGTTTAATCTGTAGTCTGTGCAGTCTCTACTTGTGCAGCCAAAAATTCTTGAAATTAGCAGTCTGTTCCTTAAACAATCCCAAAAGAGACCCCTTCTCTTTTATATATATTTAGTATATTTTCTCATTCTTTCTTTCTAGAAGTTTCAACACTAAACTTTTTCAGATATGAGGTACTTGCAGAATGGTTTTATCACAGGTTTAGAAATTGAAAGACATGTCTTCAAAGTCCAGCTGGTAGCTTATAGCTTATGTATAGTCTTTAGATTTTTTTTTCTATATATCAGTAAAGTTAAAATAAATAACACACTTGAGATAGTGATATGTTCCAACACACTTGCAGATTTTGAATGCTTGTCACTTTCAGTAGAAGAGTTAAATATCTTTTTCTAAATCTGAATTAAGATACTTTGTAAGTAGTAACAGAGAGAACTCTGTGATGGTACAAACTAAACATTTGAGTGCACCTCATATTAGACACTTGACAATTAATTTTTGGCTTTATGAATTTGAAAATAATCACATTTTTTCTCAGTAATCAAGATTATTTTTAAATGTTCCCAAGGTACCTCTACCCAGCTGTTAATCTGCTCATGCTTTCCTTAATCATGTTTTTAGCAAAGACAGCAAGAAACAGCTGTAACCAATGCATATCTCATTATCTTTCCTTGGCAAGCAAAGCATGCATCGTATTTCATATCTCCCACCCTTTGCTGAAATATATAAGCTATCTGTTATTTTTCATTCCTCTTGTATATGACTCACATAAAATCATTACTAAAGCTAAAGATTAAGCAACTTTAAATAAGTGCAGTAGAAAATTCTTCACAAATATAAAGAGCAATACAGCAGACAAACAGTGGAACCTGGTTAAATTAATCTTAGATGAGACTCAAGCCAGATAGATTCAAGGCCTGAACTAAAACGAAGCAAGATCTGTCATGCCAGTGACTTCATTAAGCATTGCAGTAAGACTTGAAGCTTATTTCATGCTAGCTACTGAATACTATTTTTTTTCCCCCCCTTCATTCAGCAAGGGCTACACAGATATAGTGAAAATCCCAGAAGGGGCAACCCACATCAAAGTTCGACAGTTCAAGACTAAGGACCAGAGCAGGTTCACTGCCTACCTGGCCCTGAAAAAGAAAAACGGTGAGTACCTTATCAACGGAAAATATATGATCTCCACTTCGGAAACAATCATTGACATCAACGGGACTGTCATGAACTACAGCGGCTGGAGTCACAAAGATGATTTCTTGCACGCAATGGGACACTCTGCCACGAAAGAGGTTCTTATTGTGCAGATACTTGCAACTGATCCAACTCAACCAGTGGATGTCCGCTATAGTTTCTTTGTGCCAAAGAAGCAAGGGCAAATGACTAACTCTGTCACCAGCAGTGGCAGCAGCAGCAGCAGCAGCAAAGTAACTCCACAGCTCTTGCAACCCCGCTGGGTTACGGGGCCGTGGCTTTCTTGTTCTCGAACATGCGACACAGGATGGCACACCAGGACTGTCCAGTGCAAAGATGGGCATGGAAAATTAGCTAAAGGGTGTCTTCTCTCTCAGAGACCGTCAGCATTTAAACAGTGCTTGTTGAAAAAGTGTTAACCTGTGGTTGTGATCTTCTTTAAAAGAGGTTTGATTAAGCCATCGTTGACATACTGGTGTTAGGTCTGCCCAGACAGAGAGAAGCACAGGCTTCAATGTACTTACATACAGTCTCAAATTATGGGCAGAATCTGCCTATTTGGACCAAATGAAGATGTGCACTGCTTTAAGTAATAGTGGGGTGATCTAAATATGTCAAAAAACTAAGCATTAAAGTTGTTATAAGCCCTCTGTGTCTGCAAAAAAATATAAAATAAAATAATGCAAAAGAAGAAAAACTAGTGAATGGAGGATCCTGGGATATTTGAAGGTTACAGAATCATCTCCCCTTTTTCACCTACCTCTAATACAGTATGTCCGTAGAAAACATCACATGTACCCATGACACCACAGTAGCTTATTTTATACTGTTTTGTAAATATCTTTCATTTGGTATGTCACTTTATATCACTTGGTTCTATTAAGAAATCAAAAGACAAACTACGTAAGCAAAGTGATTGACCAAAGTATATCTGCAGCCCTGGTGGACTTGGTCCATTCTTCAGAAAGGGCAGCAGATGTTTTACTGGAAAATGAAGAGCTTGCTGCTGGTTTTTAAAAGTAATACCTTTTGGTTTTGACAAAAGGAAACACATTTTCATGCTAGGAATTTCCTGACAGCAGATCATTATTCTATGATAAATACTGTGTTTCCAACTAAAAATTCTCAGGAGGAGTGTTGCAGCAGCTTGCAGACCAGAGATCCCCATATGTACATTGCTCAAATACTAACACCATCAGTGACTCCTCGCCATGTGTACATCAGAACAACACACACAGAAGGAGGATTTGGCTGCTAGAAGGAATCTGTGTACACTTTGCTGTAAACCTTCCACTAGTTCCAGCTGTGTCACAGCTAGGGGTCCTTGTTGTCGATGAACAATAGCTGCTAGCTTCTTCTTTCCTTAAAACAAAGGCATACTGTATTTTGTAGAACTAGTTAGAGAACCAAAAATTACAGGTAAGGTAATCAAGTGTCTTCTAACTCAGATATTCTGAGGCTGTGTTCAACTGCTTTCTCTGTTATTTTCTCTGTGGCTTCCACCTTGAATCTAACAATGTGTAACGTACCTACATTTTTTGAAGAGGCTATAAAGGTCAAAAAAACACAGCAAGCAGTTAATATTTTATCACTGTTTTGTCCATCATGTCTAACTCTGGTATTCATCTTACCAGCAAAAGTTTGTAACTGTGTCTTTTGTGATTGTTTTGTGTGTGTTTTGGGTTTTTTTTTAAAGCTATAGAAGGCATTCATGTTTTGTATATCTACCACGTTTGGGAGGAAGAGGGGTCACTAGGAAGTCAAACCACATCAGGATGTGGAGGACTTGCCCAATATAAGACTGTTTCCACAGTACAGGCAGTAGCTAGTAATAATTTTCATTGGCAGCAACTTCTGAATCCTGTTACTGTCTGGTAGAAGTTCTGTGGCTAAGGATGGGCATTTCACCTTATGCAGGTAACAGGTTGTCCACAACACAGGTGGAGGCCTGATAGCAACCCTGTTAAAATTGCTTCATTTTATACTAGCAACTTTGAATTAAGCCTTAGAATAACAGGCACTGAAAGAAATGGCTATAATATGCCGATGTATTCCTTTGTTCATCCACACAGGAGAGCATGAAACTGCAGGAGGGTTTTCAGGCAAGCCTTGCAGCTGTCAGTCAGTGGTTCTCAAGCACTCAAATACCCCAGGCTCTTCTGAAAATCCCAGTCATGGAATCAGTACAGAAATCTTGATAGGTGTAGCAAGAAGGGCAGGTCTCACTCCAGGCTGACACAAACATGTTTTTCCAACTGTGGTGTGTTTGTATGAACTTTAAGAAATCATGTGATGATTTCAAAACAGCATAGAATTGCTACATCTACAAGTATGAAACCTGGAGAAGTATCTAATTTTGTACTGTGTTCTAAATAAACAGAAATAGGGGCAGGGCCTCCTCCTCTGTGAAGGGAACTACCAATGAATGTTACTAGTCCTCTTCAGCTTTCAGGAATGGTGTAGCCTTCTTATTAGGAGTAGTCCTATGCAAAATTGTGGATCTTAAAGAAAATTCCCCATTGAACCTCTGATCCCACCCTTAGAACTAAGATCAAGACTCTGATTATTTGCAGAGTTCTGGAAAACTAAGATTTATGCCTTCTCTACTTATTAATGTAAGATCACTTTGAAGTGTCTTGTTTTCCTTTCAAGTAATGTAATTTATATACTTATATATGTATTACACATGTTCTAGAACCTCTCAAAAAAGTTCATAACAAATAGAAACCATCATAAGAGGGAAAATACGGAGACTTAATGTGTCTCAGCATAGACTTAACATTTGTCTCAGTATACAGCTGCTGTATTAAGTGGCATTTGTTTTTCCTGTGTTTTATAATAGAGACAGAATGTGCAAGTATTTGTGTTTGCATCATAGTAATAATTTATTATATATTCAACAGAATGAGTAAAACTTTTGGATGCTATTCAGGCTCCAGAAGAGTAATACCATATGCGGGTATAAATTTAAATCTTCCTTAGATCAAGAGTATCTTTTTTCAGAGAAAGAGTTTATTTATTTAAAAAAAAAAATGAGAACAAACCACTTTAGTGATTTTTCCCTTTTTGCCAGCATAGTAATGAAGTGTATTAGCATGAGCAAAAAGCACTTGCCTTTATATAGTGAGAGGGCAAAGGGGACAGACCAAAGAAGGAACCCTACAAGTGTAAGATAAGGAAGGTCAGCCTGCTCTAGTTAACACTTGCTTTTTAGCTGTTCCTTGCAATCAGGCTCCAATTCCAAACCTCGCTTTTGTCAGTCATAGCTATTTCGAATAACTAATGAATGAAAAACTGGTGCGAGGTATGTGACTTTGCCATTTCAACTTCTGTTCTCAACTAAAGTCCTTGTCACTCACACTGTTATGTCATTGTTTACATTACTACTGAGTGTTGCCAAACAGGATTCGTAAAATGCATCTAGAGGATAGAAACCCAGAGTATTGCTATTTGCATAGAAAGAGACAATCCTCAGCATTGAATTCACTGCTGCCTTTTTGGGACACATGTCCAGTGCCCTTAGGTGGAGCTGGACCCCTAAGCATCAGTGGGTTTTAGGGCATTTGCTTCTCAAATAAGATACGCTCACTAGGGAAAAAACTATCATGTTTGGTTTCACTGTTTACCAGAAATTAAATTTAGCTGCCCTCCTGTGGAAACAGTTTTATCACAAGTGGGAGAGGGAATAATCTTGTGGATTAATCACAATTGTAAAAAAAAAAAAGCAACACAGCACTGAAAAAAATAAAATAATTTATTGTTTTTACAACTGGTATGTGAACGGATGTAATGAATTTATTTATTCTTATTTAACAGAAATACCATTTGTGCAAATTCTATATTTAAAATGTTTTGCTATCATCTCTCTTTTTTTTCACCCTCTTAATTTATGCTTCAAATTTGTGTTGAAAGTACGCTTTGTGAGTTTACATAATGTATGGCACTGGTTATTTTTGTATGTTTTTATGTAGAAATCTTTCCCTGTGAAACAGGAGTATATGTGTATACATGTGTGCACACTGTATAGATGTATATTCTTTTTCTGCTACCATCTTTTTCTTAGAGAAGTTGTATATTTCTAATTTTGTGACACCTCATGCTCAAAGCTCCTTCTTATGCTTCATTTTGAAAATCTCTCAACTAGCAAGTCATAAAGGTCTGTGGACCAAAAAAAGACCTGTTCCTACTCCGAAAGTAGTCAGACAGCAGACTCACTTCGCTTAGGCACATGCAGTTCATGCTGCACGCCGCAGTGATTTACCACTGAAGGTGGTACAGGTCTTACCCTTTGCTTTAATGGGAGCAAGTTCAGGCTTGTAAATGAGAGCTCTCTATATGTGAATGGAGTTTCTCCGAGTTGTCAAGGTGGCAAGTGATTCTTCCCTCATGCAGTTTCTTATGCTTAAATGTAAACACTACAGAGAAACTCTCATGTGCCTCTTTAAAAATGTATGATTTGATTTATGAAGACTGAACCATTAAAAAAGCTACTTTTTCAGTCTTTCCACTGTTTATATACATAAGTGAATATATATGGCTATAAAGTTCAAAAGTTAAATTTGGAAGGCTTTGCAATGTTTTACTTCATTGTATTCTAGCTCTTTGTACCACATCAGGCAAAGTTAGATCCAAAAAACAGCCAGCAAAGCATGTGATCCCAGTGTTCCCTTGAAAATAACATCTGTTTGCTTCCGCTTTTCATCCAGTCCGACTCTGCTGAACTCAAGGGAACTTGTATTGGGCCCAGTGTAAGGGGAAAAAATGCAGTATAGACAAACCTGCAGCTTTTCTACAGTCTGTTTCTTTAACAATACAAATTACTTCTGTTGCCACTTCACTGTAAGAGCAGTACTACAGACTGCAAATAATCTATTACAGACTGTTGAAAGTTATCTTGCTTATCAGTGCCCATATTCACACAAGTTAAATTCCTGCCCAGTGCCAGCTGCCATTTGGGTGTTACCAAAGACCCAGAGCCGGCTACAAGGCTTTAGATGAAATTGCAATGGACTTTGGGTGATGCTTCCTCATGGAAGACCCACTACAAAATGCCAGGAAATGATGATAAGCATTGACCTTGACAATCTCAAGGGATGGCTTTAAACAGGATTAGTAACGATGAAACAGCAACAGTTGTGGGGTTTCAGCTATATGTTTAGGTGAGTGTTTCTCCGTGTGCTATTGAATATCATGGTGTTCTTTGTCACTGAGGAAGATGGACCCTATGGCAAGAGCCAAAATCAGATTCTCTGAGAATGGGCTGCAATTTTCAGAAAAAAAATGTTGCTGGTTTGGAGGGGTTTGTTCCTTTTTTTTTTAATTAAATAAGTGATTAATTTTTATAGTTGCTAGAGGACGTCATTGCATTCATACTTGCCATTGGTAACATTTTCAAGAGGGTTTTTTACTGCAAGTACAC